CTTTCTTGATCTCTTAACCATATTTACTCTCCACACACACACACACTCGTCGCTCGATCTGAGGCTGAGGAGAGCCTAGGGAACTGGTGGAGACTAGCTCAACCACAAGTCAAACTCAATGCTCACGACAAAAATAGTTAGTTTTCTGTCTTCATGGTAAACCCTTCATTAAAAGACAATTGTACGTTTTGAATTATAGCTCCTTGGGGGCCCTGTTAAATGTTGCCAACATAACAATCTGATCGTTATGCCCAACCAATGCTGCAGGGCATAGCTCCTGAGCAATAGTTATGCTGAGCCATGGATGAGAGAAGCAACACAATTTTGCATATGTTTTCGGCTCATAACCCTTTAGCTACTTGAGGAACAATACAATGCTAGTTCCGCTGTTTGTTTGTAGCTGCACCCCTTCCCCTCTCCAATCCCTCTGCCGGGAGTCGGGTACTGTCATTGTGCGTAACAATTAAATCGTGTAGCTTCTACTCTTTGCCTGCGCTATGCACCACACACACACACACACACTTACACACAATTTGCAAATGATCGAAGGAGCAGGCATTGGGCGGGCGGCAGCCATTTAGCTGGATGCCCCATTGCGTGGCCATGCACCTAACTTCATCACGATCCGCGACATGAAAATAGTTGCACTCCGCACTGGCAAACACAGACGGCCAGAGCGCCGGCACAGACCACAGAGTGGGAAGCGTCACATCACGAAGTCAACGCCGACGCCGATGCCGAGGCCGACGCCAACGCCACCGCCACCGCGGCCGCAACCGCCACCAGGTTAAGCTAGCTGCCGATGCAGTGAGTCGACCGTTGTCCATGTGGACTGCAAAGTCGCTTTGCATATTTAGCAACACATTCCCGATGGTCGTAACGAAAAACGGTTTCATTGTTGCCGACGCCGCCGACAACAACATAAAAGCCTGCGCTCCTTTAGCTGGCCAGGCCAACAAGCAGCCAGCAACAAACAAACACACACACACCCATTCACATACACACAGTTAATAACAAGTTAGAATGCTCTAGTCGAGAGCTAACAACTAGAAGATACCCTGTGCACAGGCATAAAATTCAAACGTAGTACTGCTGCCAAACAATAGATGGCGCCATCGATGGATAAATATGATATTCGAATCTGAATATACTTAAAGTACCAACTATTTGCGCTTATAGGAAGTAGCTTTAGTTGTTATAAGTCGGGATGGAAATAGAGAGCAGGACTGCAAGTGGTCGGGGATTCGGTTTATGACTTTAACCTCCAGCCTTGAGGTTCTGTTAATAAACCAATTTTTCACATTCATGTGCCCAGCTTTTGGTTCAAATCTTGGTTTGTCGTATGCTTTTAAAGTGTTAATAATATTAATAATATACCAATAATATACCAAAAATGATTAGAAAAATCGAAAGATTAAGTCTCAGGTTATTTATGCTTTGGGGCTGAGTTGCCCTCAGGATTTCCTTATTTTAAACAAAACCATCTTTGGGGAGCAAATTCAAATAATTTCGGTTTGCGATAGGTGGTTTTTTGAGTAACTGTTTTGGTTTAAGGTTCGGCTCAAAATATACTATAACATGAAATTCCGGGTTCCAGCCGAACAAGTTGCTCATAACCTATTGCAGCCTTTTAGAAGACACATAATGAATGCTGAAGAGCCTTAGCTTTGGTTTAACCACATGACTCCAGGATCTACTCGCTAGTTAAAACTAGATCTTCTTCAAAGACTTTTCGATGCTTCTCTCTTTTGGCTGTGTGCACAACTTTAGGATAAACACTTTTCTTTTAACAAAAAATGTTAATGGCTACAGGGTATAACAATCGGCACACACACCGAGAGTGCAGAGCCCAAACCAGACCAGAGACCAGACCGGGCCGAGACCAACCGACAAGAAAATAAGTTGAATAAAATTATTGTGAACACGTCTCGTTGATTTATTGTGAAATCGCGCATGAGTAATGATCGCATATTTGGGTATACTTGTTGCTTGTTGGTGGTGCTGCTGCCGCTGCCGCTGCTGCTGCTGCTGCTGCTGCTGTTGGAGAGAAGGTCGATCGATTGGTCGGTCCTCGCCAGAGCTGGGTCCACCACCACAGATTGGGTACAGTTTTTGGTTATTGCTCATTTTCGTATCGATCGCAGCGCTCGGTGTTTACATTTGCCGGCCTCCTATTGTTGCTCTAAATGGCAGCGAATGAGTCGAAACTTTTTCTCCTCTTGTTTGTTGCTGTTCTTCGGTATTATAATCCAAAAACAGCACCGACACACAACACAGCACAGCACAGCACAGCGCAGGAGGCAGCCGCAGACAGTTGGCCAAAGAGGCTGCCTGGCATAATAATAAAACATGATGATGGGCCACTTGCTGGTTCTGGCTCGGCTCGGCTTTGCTTTTGGGCTCGCTGGTTATCTAATCGGCTTTTTATAATTGGGAACCAACGAGGCGCAGATTCAGCGCGATCATTGTGTAACAATTAAGGTAAAGAATCCAACACTAGACAACAACAACAACGACAGCGACAACAACAACAACAACAAACGCAATGAACATAAGTAGCCAGAATGTTAGCATATTCCGCCTCCCAAGAGAGCAAAAGGAAGAAGCAATCAGATAAGTAAAAATAATGAATTTGCAAAAACTCAAATTAATATGCTTTAACAGGTTTCAATTTTAAATATAATAAGTTCTATTCTTTACAGCAAAATCATTACTGTGAGTTGGTCAGAGCTCAAGTTGAGCATAGAAGATTTATAAAGGAAAAGTTCTGCTAAAAATGTCTTTCAAATGTTAAAAGATGCCAATATATAAATGCAAGGCTTATACCTTATGTATCTGTTGAGCTAACCAGACTCTATTAAGGGCTGTTTCGATCCATAACCTTCAGTAATCGGAAACTAATAAAAATTCTCGTCGTAGCCACAAAACAATAGACCAAACATTCTGCAAATTGTTCAAGGTTTTTCCTGATAAAGGTAAAAATAATGCTGCAGCGGAACTAATAGATTTACCTGAACATTTACCGGGAAAATCACAACGGTGTGTGCTTCGAAAAATGGGTTTGACCACAGAACTGACCACGAAATTTCGAATGTTACGCTAAATTATTTCTTTATATCTTTCAAATATATATAAACATATAATATATGTTAAATATTTATGTTAAAAAGCTGAATATATTTAAAAGAAAAAGCTTTAGTTCATGATCTTTTACGAACATTTTAAAAATAAACTATATATTCTTTTAAAAGAAGGCAAAAAAGTCGAAATGTATTAAAATACTTTTCAGGTTTTCTGAAAATAATATATGAGTGTATGCAGCTCCTCTCATTTTTCATTCTCTACACAGGTACAAGAAAAAGAAGAAGAAGTAGAAGTCTTGGCATCGTCTTTGTTGCACAGTGATAACGATGAGAGCTGTTGAGGGCTGAAATGGTAAAAGTATCTTACAGTACGCAGTTGTAGGCTTCGAAAATTGATGATCGCGTGCCAAATGTGCATGTTTATAAACATATTTCTCTGGTACTTGGTCGCCGCCTCTCGCTCTGCCCTCTCGCTGTCTCGCAGCTTGTCTCTGTCCCTCTAAGGAGAGAGACTGAGTGTGTATGGCATGTCTGTCCATTGGGATGATCTTGCATTTGATCAGTCGCTTTGTTGATTGCTTGAAACTTGTGTCCATGCAATAAAACACTCAAAATGCCAACTTTATTTTGGGTCAAAGCCGGCCAGACACGCAACGTTGCCTGCCTGGGACTCTAAAAATACTGCGCAGACTCTTCGATAAACTTTTAGCTGCCCCGCGTCGTCGGATCAACTGCGGGCCTCAAATGCTGTGAGCCAATTTGGCGTTGCGTTTTGACCTTTTTTGAAGCGAATCAAGAAGCATTTATATATACAAACATATACATATATTGTTTGTCTCTTTCTCATATAACTCTAGAAACCTGTAGAAAATGGGTTATAGGTATAAAAATTCCAATGGCCCGAACCGGGGGCGACTACCAACTGTGCATTTGGCGGAACTTTGCGCCACATGCGTCGCATATCTTTGACACAATCCGTGGCGCCCACCCGTTGTGCTCTCGAGGGCAACCTTTTCACTCGCTCCCCAATCGCCCTCCTTCCCCCCTCCCCCTAGCTAGCTTGACCATACTCAAACAAACCCGCGACCGTTGCTCAAATTAAATTAATTCATAATGAACATAATTATTAGAGCCAACTCTTGTCCGGCAGTGTCAATGGACTAAAAGTCAAAAACTCCATCCCAGAGTTCTGCCGACTCCACAAAACTAAACAAGCCGAATCGCTTCAGCTCTTTACAAGGGCGTTACCCAAGTTGTTTGAGACCAGAAACCCGCCCGTTGCCGTTGCTGTTGCCGTAGACGTAGCCGTAGCTGTCCGACTGGATTAATGGCTGCGCTGACAGTGAAAATCCTGCGGTTATAAGTTTTATAGCCCTTCGTCCCCACTTTGAAATGGTTGCAGCAGCAATTAGAGTGTGCTGCTCGATGTAAGGGTTTACAGCATTACACATTCGTCTCTTTGCCTGAGATCATAAAAGATTTTCCTAGGAATTTCGACAGGCCTCTGAACTCGAGGGGTTAGACCCCGCTCGTAAGTGCCGCGGTTCATTAGTTTCAACCGCTGTGCGTGGGCCGAAGCCTTTGGGTATTTGTGTGGAAGAGCTCAGGGATAAGCTGTTAGCTAAAGATCAAAACTTGAGGCTACTGAGCAGCATCATCTTTGGATTGTCTAGAGGTTGACCAGTCCTAATTACAGGTGAGAGGAAAATGCGCCCCTGCAGAGACTCTTCTTACCAAGAAGTGATTTATTCTAAATTTAGTGCTAAAATCAACAAACAGTTTACGTCAGGATAAATAAGTAAGTTAAGTAAATATGTATACTAGAAGATAGCCCGTGCCTCGGTCTGAATTATTTAAACATAAATTCTTAATTATATATGTAAATAAGTACTTACCTTAAAATTTCACAAATTCACAGCCAGATCCTTACATGTACATATCACTAAAAAAAACAAAGAAGAGAGAAGAAAGTAAGAGTACGATCTGAAAATGAATAAGACAAAAGAGAGAGAGGGAGAGAACGAGACAAATTAAAGGGGAGTTTAGTTAAAAGCAAATATGACAACAAAGCAAGCAATACAACCTTTTCATATAATACTTATAATCAAGGCGTGTGTTAATTGCATTTGTGAGAATCGCATAGAAGGGCGACATAAAGAAATACGTTTAAATTAGCAGCAATGGTTCTCTAAATGTCGTTAAAATATTATTATTTTTGTATGTAAAACTTTGAAGTGAAGTTTGAAGCTGAACTTGAACTTTCGACCCCAAAAACTCAGGCGAGTGGAATTTCAGATAGTCAAGAGAAATAGTATTATATATAGAGATAGATATAGCTCAGCGAAACTATGCTACTGGAGGCCAATTATGGAATTCTATTGTGTCAATTAAGAATACATTTGCTGTGGAAGCGCCGCTCACCATTCATTCACTTTCTACAGCAACTTTCAGAGCTGTGAGAAATTCGATCACTTCCTCTGCTCGTTGATAATGGAACTGATATTTCAACACAGCGCAAGCTCGCTGTCGTTGAACTCAGACGCTGCTGAAATCAACGCTGGCTTTCCTAGAATGCCCACCAGAGACGCCAACACAAGTAACAGTCGGAGACACGGAGACTTATGCCACATAGACCAGCCGCCAGCACATGTCTGTGTATGGGAAGCCACAATATTTTTCAGCTCAAATATGATTAATTTTTGGGTTTTGCTGCAGACGTAGTGCCTGTCTATAAGTCATGCCTTTTGCAATTGGCTTGGAACACGTGTTTGCCTTACTTCCTCGCACTCTCTCTCTCTCTCTCTCTCTCTCTCTCTCTCTCTCTCTCTGTGTGTGTCTCGCTGCTCATGTTCTCTACATGTTCTGGCATTCTCTAAATCGCAGCTTTCACTCATGCGTGGAACGGTTTTTGGGTCGGGACTAGGGGAAATGGGCATGCGCAAACGCAAATGTTGCATGGCCAAGTTGGGAGCTGGAGACTGAACAGCAAACAGGGAATAGCAAACAACCAACAGCAACAACAAACAACAACAGCAGCAACAACAACAGCAGCAACAACAACTACATGACATAGTGCCTGTCGTCTCATTAGGATTAGACCCACGTTATTTAATTGCATGTTAGGGATTCCAGCTTATTTATAATGAGTTAGTTAAATACACACGCACTGGAACTGCGACTGGAAACTGGCATTGGGCAGAGGCTGAGGCTGAGGCTGAGACTAGGGACTGAGTACTGGGGACTGGAACCTTTACTACGCTGGTTGCAGGCGTTGCCGCTGTCCGCTGTCCGCTGCCAGGGTGCAAATGATTAATGATCAGAGCGCGCGTTAGGCGGGTTCACTAAAGTCTCCCTCTCTCTCTCTCTGTCTCTGTCTCTGTCTTTGTCTCTGTCTCTCCCTCTCGCTTTTTATCTCGTTATATGGGAGTTTAGGTATCTCTGTGTTGGTTTTTCGTGAATTTATTTACAAATAAAATTATAGCTTCGCCTTGGCGTAGCCAACTGGCCGTGCAACAACAGCAGCAAGTATAACAACAACAACAACAACAACAACAACTTTGCTGGCCATTTAAACACCCCATAAACAATTTGCCATAATTTCGAGCAGCGACAACGTCAACGACGACGTCGTCGTCGTCGGCGCTCCCTCATTACAAAATGACGGCAAATTGCAATTTTCGTTGAAGGTTGAGTGGAACCCGCATGCCAGTAGCAGTCAGCAGTCAGCAAGCAGTAGCAGTCAGCAGTAGCAGTAGCAGTAGCAGTAGATCCCAGCTCCAGTCCTCAGATCAGGCCCAGTTGCCCACGAAACGACGCTGTGACAATCAACGCGCACGTCCCGCCAGATGATGTGATGTGATCTGATGTGATGAGTGCGTCTATCATATCGTCAATGTGCGTCGTCGTCGTCAATGTCAACGACAACATCATCATGCAGTCGCTGCAAGCTGCCTTGATCTTGATCAGCCAAGATGCAGCGGCTCGGGCTGCGGCAGCGGCAGCGGTAGCGGCAGCTCATCGTCGTCATCGAAATTGTCATGTCACGAAAGTTGGCTCCCAGCTGCTAAAAACTGCTATAGCTAAAGCTGCTGCTGCTGCGGTTACCAACGGCGGCGGCGTCTCCTCTTGTGGCATTTGCGGCAGCCCTTTGCCAGTGGGGGCATCATAACTTTGTCATTAAGTGTGTGCCATGCACAGCAATTAGGCATTTTATTAACAGATATGCTCTTCAACTTGAGAGCGTTTCAAAACCGACACACAATTCACATGAATAGTTAAATTAGCATTAGCGATAATTGTAGCAAATTATTTGATACAATACACTGAGAGAAACGAGTGCAGCTTCGACTCACAAAATATGATTTAAGCTTGTCGAGTACTAATTGGCGAACTTGTTTGTTAACGAGTACTAATTGCCTAACTTTGCATTTAAATTGCTAATTATTGTATAATTATATTAAAATACAATCAACGAGTGTTGAGCAGCAAAAACTAAGCAGCTTGTCTGTAATAAAATCTTTTAAGTACTTCACAGATCTATCATGAGCATTAGAATTGCAAGCGCCGAGTCCCCCTTTCTGTGCTTCAACTTGTTGAGAATTACAAGCGTTGAGCAAAAATAAGCAACATTGATCTAGAGTTGGCCAGTTTAATACTAGTATTTGTACTAAAAAGGTCGCTAAAATCAATTGCTTTTTAATTTTACATAACTTCAACATAATTTATGAAACAAAACTTTAAATGCTTAAAATAGCTTCTCTCTTCAAAATACAAATATTTTAATGTGTTTAGACCTAATGATATTAATATTTCATCAATATCATAAATCTAATTCATATCATCAATCTAAAGATATTGATATTCCATAAATATATACTTTTTTCAAGTATTTTATTCATGGTAAATATATATTTTCTTTTGGGTGTCAAATGAAATTTGTCTTTAACACATTCTAGTATTAAATAAAATATATGTTAATATCTTTGAGCTTATTTTGGAGACAAAATTCAAAGTTCTTTTGCTTTTTTCTAGAAAAAAAAGCGCTGAAAAACGTTAAGGTATAATTGTACCAAGAACTATGGGTATTTGTAAAAATAAATTTAAAAAGCGTTTTATATTTTTTAAATAACTTTTTGATAATTTACTTGTCAATTGCTTTTTAGAAGCATCTTGTGTAATAAAATGAATGACAGTGCATTGGCTATTCGTTGAGTTGTTATGTGTTTGTCTTGCTTTTAGTAATTGTTGCGGCAACTGTTGATATTGCTGCTGGTCTTGAGATTTTGTGGCTTAAATGCCTTTTAAATGCAGCTCCCCACGGGAATATGCCGCCGCCAGTCAGACTGCCTGTTGTTGTTGTTGCTGATGCTGATGCTGATGTTGTTGTTGTTGTTGTTGTTGTTGTAGCTGCTGCTGCTGTTGTTGTTGCTACTGCTGTTGACATTGTGATCAACGATAGCGGCTTGACAACTGATGGCAATCACTTGTCGCGCTTCAGATCATCCGCCTGTTGCCTCTGCCTGCCGCCTGCTGCCTGCCGCCAGTTGAATGTTGAATGTTTGATATTGAATGTTGAATGTTGAATGTTGCCCATGGCTTGACACAGATTTGTTGGCCAAAGTTGGCGACAACGTCGTCGCCTTTTTAGGCCCAGGCGTCTAAGTTGCAGGCAACTTGTTGCCTGTTCGCCTGGCTGCCCCTTTTTGTCGCCAATTGACAATTGACGCAACATCAAAACTGTCTAATTAAAAACATTGCCCGCAATGCGTAACTGAAATCGATGAGAAGCGGCGAACGCCGACAAAGCATTTGACTTTATGACATTTGAAATGGCCCAAGGAGAGACTGGGAGCGGGAGAGCGACAGAAATAGAGATGGAGAGGGGGAGAGTGGGAGCGCAAGCATGGCAAAATGAAAGAGACATGCGGCTATTTATTTTGTAATTTTTCTCAACATTTTTCTCCGTGTTCTGTGTGCGTTGTGTGCTGGCTAAATTATGGACTCTCGCAGCCAGGCCAAAAACACAAACAGAAAAAAAAACCAAAAAAACAACAATGATTCGTATAAATTGGAAACATTAAAAAAGCAATCAAAAATGTTCGGGCCAAGGCAATAGCAACAACAACAACAACAACAACAACAACAACAACAACACAACCACAACACAACACAAAAGAGCTGCGGTTCTTCGGTCTGGTCCGGTCCCGGGTCAGTTTAACCTGCGCTGGCGTGTTAACCTGCTGCTGCCTCTCCACGCAACAGTTGGAAATTTTAGATACGACTCGCTGAGATGCTGCATGAGCAGCTTCACACGATTGTCGCACGGCGACGGGGACGGTGCGGGGGCAGCTTAGGGTACTCGATTGAACGGCAATCGAGATCGAGGTTCGTGGTTCAAGTCGCAAGATCTCGAGTCTATGGGGGCAACTATGCTGCAACCTGGGCTCGGGCTGAGCTGCGGCGCGTTGACTGACTGATATGAGGCAACAACAACAACAACAATAGCAGCACCAACAACTGCCCGTCGATTGTTAATCAGTTAGATATAAAACAAAATACAGCAAAAGAATCAAACTCGCATCTCTGCGCGTATCTACGACATGTTAATGATGTTTCTTCTTTTTGTTTTTTTATTATCTTTTTTGGGTGTTAGATAAAAAAAAAAAAGAGTGAAAAAGAAGAAGAGCCAAACAAAAAGAATGTTTCAGAAAACGTTTGGCCCACGTTTCCTAGAAGCCAGCTCAGCGCGCTCTATTGATGTTATTTATATGAAATGTCTGTGAAATTATTACCCTTTTTTCTTCTGCTTCTTTGGGGCAAGAAATTTATTTGATTCGACTGTGTTTTACTCGCTTTTAATTAGCAGTCGAAACAGAAAATAATTCAGAGCGAGGAAGGGAGAGGGAGAGAGGGGGGAGAGTGCGTGAGAGAGTGAGATAGCAA